GGCACGCGGCTGCTTCTCCCACTTGCCCTGCAAGAGACATCAGCAACATGAGACCCAGTCTGGATTTCGGGTACTTGGAGACTCCCTGTTTCTCCCTGCTTGTGGAAAAGAAGTTATCTTTAATATTTGAAGTGTTTTTAGCCCAAACCAGGATGTTTTCTTATGAGACGTGAGGAATTATTTGTATTGCAGAAGCACCTACGCATCCCCTTAGCAGCGCAGATGTCTGCAGTGCACCACGTTGTACCAACCTATCACCAGCGGGGAGTTTCCACCTCAAAAAAGTGTTACCCACCAAATCAGATGGAAACGACTCAAAGCAGGGAGTCCCACCGACCCCCCATGCTCTCAGCCCAACCCTGAAAACCACTCTCCCAGGTATTAGGAGGAAGGTTGGTCGGAGGCAACCTCTGGAGTGTGTCAGTGTAGATGTTCATGTGCAACTGCTGTGGAACAGGAGGGAAGCAGCAGCCTGGATGAGGTGCCATGAGGCAGAGCTGGGAAAGGGCTCAAGGTGACCACAGCCAGGACAAAACCCCCAGCTCCACACATGCATTGAGGGCACCGTGTCTTGGGGATGCTCCCTGCGAGGAGCAACCTGCCAGAGTCAGATGGTGCCGAGGGCTGAGCCTGCTGGGAAGGATCTAGCTCAGATGTGACTTGTTGGTCTGGGTTAGTAGCAGGGTGAGATGCAGGAGGGGGCTGTGAGGGCAAAGCTGGGCTCAGTCTGGGCTGATCTTTGGTTTGGTGATGCTCCAGTTTGGCTGCTGGCTGTGTGCTCATGCAGAAATGTCAGCGCGAGGCTGAGCCGCAGCGTGAGCAGGAGGGGGGAGGTCTGGAGAGGAGAAGTAGAGCTGTGAGTCATCAGCAAGATGTTGGCTTTATGCTTTTAAATTAAATTCCTTGTAGTATGTCAAGTGAAATGGGCCAGAGCCCGCACCAGCACCAGGAAAACCCTGGGGACAGCTGGAGAAGGATGGAGGGACACTCCAAAGTCTCACGGAGAGTGACCAGAGAGGAGACAGCTTTGCAGGGGAGCACCAGCTGAAGAAGTGACCGTTTTCCTTTCATTTATGGCTTAAAGAGCAGTTGCCATGCTTAAGGTGTGCCCACCCAGGGCTCGGCCCCAGCCCATCTGCTGCAGTAGTTTGCCTTGCCAACATGTCCCAAACCCTGTGCTTGTGCCTTGCCAGAATCCTGCTTTTGGGGTAGATCAAAGGCATTTGGAGTGACTTGATAGTTGCTGTTTTCAGTGCTTGTGTGTGGAAATCTGAATATAGAGGGTACAGAGAGTTCATTACAAGCCCTTGCAGGTGCAGAGGGACTTGGGGACAGCGACGTCCCCACAGCCTCTCACAAGTGTTACCTTGAGATTTGGCTTTATAATTAACAGCACTCAGTCCTTACAGAAATCTTGTCAGGTTTGGGACCACTGAACTGCAAAAAACATGAGCTTAATTAGAAGCTGGTGCTTTTCTCTTGGCAGAATGAGTGTGGAATAAATGAGATGTCTTAAAACGGGGCTCGCTCTGGAAACCCCATCATTGTAGGAGGGGCAGGTCGTGATGCTCGTGACCCACTTCGTGCTGGCATTGGGTCTGCTCTGCTCGTGTCTCTTCTTGGCCACTTCCCAGACCTCTCTGAAATCAAGAGAGTTGCCTGGACCATGATTAAGAGGCTTAATTGATAATTCTGCTCCTGCACAAATCTTCTGCACCACTTCTGTCCCCGCAGCAGGGCTCTGCGGGGCTGAGAGGTGCTGAGTCCCCTCCCAGGGGACTGGAAAGGTTTCTGCTCCATCAGAGCAGACTTTGCTGAAGGGCATTGAGCAGGAGAGGAAGCTGATGATGGTCTTCCCTGTGCTCAGCTCAGCATTCCCAGTGCTGCAGCGGGCAACGTACCCTGTGAGTTTATTACACCCATAAATGATGTCAGGAACTGATGGTGATCAGGACCTTCAGTGTATTTAAATCTTCATGACCATCAGGGCTGGATCTGGTTTTCCTTTAAAGATCTCACGGCCCTTTACCCTTCACGTTTTGCTGGATCTCTGCATTTGGAGCCTGCACAGATGCTGTGTGCAATGAGCTCGCTCTGCGGGGACCTGACGTGATTTGCCAAAATCCTAAAAATCACCTCACGTTTCTCCTTGGTTCTGGAGCCAGCCCTGCTTTAACGCTCAGCAAAAGCAGCCTCAAAAATCACATTATGAAAACGCAGCTCCTAATTGAATCTGGCTGAGCACATCCCCAGCGAGCTCGTGCTGTGTTGTTTCAAGCCCTGGGTCTGGGCTGGGCTCAGCATCCTGCTGACACCGGGGTTCCCCCAGCAGCTCCAGCTCCCTGCCCTGAGCCTGCTGGGTGCAGCAGTGTCCTGAGCACTGGAGACCTGACCCGTCTCCTCAGGGTCACCCAAGGAGCAGCTCTGCCAAGCTGCTTTTCACCCACAGTTGGGAGTTTGGCTGGGAAGCTCTGGCTGGGAAGCTGTACGTACCGGGAAGCGGACGGCTGAGGATTTGTTGCAGTGCATGGAGATTGGAGCAAAGCTGTAGAGGGATTTCAGCACATCTCTGTTGAATGTGTTCCAGGGGATGGAGTGAAACTGCTGTGGGATGGAGACCTGTGGACACATGCAGACCTCCTCGTCGTTAAACCTGGGGCAGGAGAAATGTCACACTGAAACGCAGCAGTGCTGTCCCTGCTCAGCACTGGATGTGGCTAACTCCTCCCTACCTGAAGCTGGAGCTGGAAGGGCTCTGAAGTCCCGCCTAGGGAGAGCCCAATGCAGCCAGAGCCTGTGGGGGAAGATCTGGGGCCAGCCAGCCGTGGGTAGGACACCCTGGGCAAGGTCAGCATCCTGCCCCTCTCATCGTGGGGGAACGAGCTGCAGCCTGCTTCTGTGGCAGGGCTGCTTGCCTGCCTCGGGGTCTAAGAAGTATTTTGCACATAAAGACTTAGCCATGCACTGACTCTTGCCGGGAAATCCCTCCCTGGGAATGTTCTCCTTTCCCAGCACTTCTCACTACCCAGCCATCCGTAAAGCCCTGGGTTTTGCCCTGGGGACAAGGCAGGGCAGAACACAGCCACCACTCCTGAAACCTCCCCCTGCCTGCATGCCCCTGCACACCTACAGCACAGCCAGCACCTCCAAACCCACTTTTTTTCAATGTTTTCCCAGCGTGATAAGCAAAGGGCTCTGCAGCAGTCCCTGTGCCCCCAGCAGCAGCGTGCAGGGGCTCTGTACCTGTTCACGAGGCTGAAGTAGCGGTGCAGGTAGCCCGGATCCACGGCACTTTTGCACAGCTCCAGCTGTGTCTGGGGGTAGTAGTGCACGTAGTTCACACACATCTCCTCCATGATGCCAAAGCCACCCTGCACACAGACACAAAGGGGTCGGCAGAGGGGTCCAGCTCTGCCCTGCCCCGGCAGCAGGGAGGGCAGAGGGGCTGCAAAGGCACAGAGCTCACACCTCTATGTGCACACACACATGGAGAGATAGAGAGCATAGAATCAGGGAATCTTTGAGTTAGAAGGGACTTCAGAAGGTCATCTAGTCCAACCACCCTGCAGTAAGCAAGGACATCCTCAACTAGAGATATAGATGTAGTTGATGTATAGATTATAGAGATAGATGATAGGGAGATAGAGATAGAGATGATAGAGATAGAGATAGAGATAGAGATAGAGATAGAGATGATGATAGAGATAGAGATAGAGATAGAGATAGAGATAGAGATAGAGATAGAGATAGAGATAGAGATAGAGATATATCTGCACTCCAGGTGCATAGGATGGGCCACACTCTGCTTATCTGCCCATCCACCCTTTATACAAGGGCAGACTTTCAGGCTAGATCGTGTGGTTTACATTAAAATGCAGATTTCCTATAATCCCTCTGCTATATTTAGTTTTGTCCCTGTTGATGGTACCTCTGACAGGCTCTTTTGTTGCTGCCAATGTAAGAAAATAACATGCACTGTCAAAAATGCCACTTCTCTTTAATTACAGTTGATCCCCAGTGGAACAGTTTGTGATGGGAATTGGAGTGACAGAAGCTACTTCTCAATTGGCACCTTGACATTGCCACTGCAGGCAGCAGAGCCTGGTGGGTTTGTTTCTTTAGCACCCTCCCTCTGGTTTCTGGCTGGGATTCAGGCAGGGTTCAGGCTGGTGCCCACTTTGTGGGTGCCCCCCACCCTGGGGTGCCCCCACACCCAGCCCCACACTCACCACAGTGGCTTGGCTCCGGTCCTCTGTGTTGTATGTGCAGGTTGTGATGAGCTCGTCACCCTGGGAGGTTTGGACACAGACAGGTGAGGTGTGAGACTGCAGTTTCCCCTCTGCCATCAGGAAATTTGGGGATTGAGGAGTTTGTAACGTAGCAGACCCCTGCTCCCCTGGGCAGCCTCTTTCCCCACCAGCCACGGTGCCACAGGAGCACTTCCTAAACCTGCACCTCCTGGGGAGATTCCCTAGGGCTGTAACCTCCCAGGGATGGTATTTCTCACTTTCCTCGTTTTCTAAGAATATCTGCAGGGCTGAAGCACCAAAACTGCACTTGGGCAACATTTTGAATCACCAAACCTGCACCCAACTTGGTGGCACAACTGCTTCCCTGCTGTGGTTGGTGCTGGGGGCACGGGGACACCCTGGAGCACAGCCCTGGCGTGGTTTCAATGGGTGCTGAGGCTTCTGAGCAGCCTCCTGGGGTTCCACATCTCCTGTAGGTTCCCCCTGCTTTGCAGCCAGGTCCTTCCTCACCTGCACAGCCTCAGAAAACATTCAGCTTCTGTTTTACCACCCACCCACCCATGTTTGCTGCCAAATCTCATCCTCTTCTTCTAGCAAGCAAGGAGGGAGGGGACACCTCCAGTGCGTGCGTGGTTCACCCTCACTCCCCAAGGAGCTTCTGCTAGAGGTGTTTTGTTTAGGTCTGGGCACAGTTCAGCTGCCCACAAGCTGGTTTTGTGCCACAATTAGATGGGCCCAATGTCCCCAGGGTCCCCCAGGCACACCCCCTGTGCAGAGGTGGCAGGTACGACCCAGGGACCACGGGGAGAGTGTGATGTGAAGGGGGCAGGGGTCTCAGGGCTGCAGGATCAGGGGAAGGTCTCATGCTCTTTGGAAGCCACCACGGTTCTTGGAGCCACTCACTGGAAAAACTGCAACTATCTCCTTCAGCATGCGGATCTCCTGGGGGGGAAGGAAAGAGACCACGTCAGAGCAACGCCAAGGCTCTGTGCCCAGGGGGGGATGTCCAGCCCGGGCCCCCATCACCCCAGCAGCCCCCAGTACCTGGAAGTGGGGGCTGTAGTGGCTGTCAGCGTTCACCACCTGCAGCTCTCTCCCGTCCCTGGCCAGCACCGTCACCACTGCCCTGCCTGCCAGGTGGGTGTGGAGCTGGGAGGCGAAGATGCGGATGCCGGCGGCAGGCAGAGCCTGGGGGAAGGATGGCTCAAGCCCCCGTGCCCGGCCCCAGCCCCCTCCCCTCTGCTCATCCCCTTGCTGCGTGTCCCCGCGCCGGCTCTCCCGCGGGGTTTGGGGTGCTGCTGTACCCCAGGGCAGTGGGGAAGCGAGCTCCCTGCAGGCAGGCAGGTGCTTGGTCTGCTGCCAAAGCCAATGTACGTGCTGCCGTGCCCTTGGCCAGCGGGAGAAGCTGAGCTGGATGCTTCCTGCTTCTGTGCACGTGTCAGTGGTGGCACAAATGCTCAGTTTGGGTTAAGTCCTACAAAAACATCCAGTAAAACTTCCCCGAGAGCAAGGTGGGCATTTTGAAACCACTCTTGAGGGAGCTCTTGGCGAGCTCCTTGGCAGCAGGAGCCAATCTTCCCACCTCCGTGGGGGAAAGCACCGCTGGGACACGGCCAGCCTGGCAGGGAGCTTTATGGGAATGGTGCCCCAGAGAGCCGGAGCAGATGGCTCCCCAGGAGAGCTTCATCGAGGGGGGTTCAGCACATCCCAACCAGCTGCTTGCTGTACACAGATTTTTTCTTTCCAGCACAACCTCATGGCAAGGGATTCAGGGAGTTTAAACCTGGGAGCTGAGAGCCTGGAGCTCAGTACCCCATCACTGCTGCCCGGGACATAGGCAAAGCCATTTGCAACCTCTTCTGTGAGGCAGAGGGGATGGGCACTCACCAGCTGGGTGCACTTGTCAGTGCAGTAGCCTGTGAGGATGAAGCTGTCCTCGCCAGGGGGAATGGCCATCACTGGGGTGTAGACCAAGCCCAGCTCCAGGATGCCGGCGTCGTGGCGGCGCAGGGTGCCCGTGTAGTAGAGACGGATCCCCGAGGAGTCCCGGCGGCCTGGTGGGTGAGAGGATGGAGCTGTGAGGCACCACAGGAGGAGTGATGACTGCTGGGACACAGTCAGGTGTGTGAAAAATACCCCTGTGCTGCAGTGGGCAGGGGCACGCCAGCCTCTTGCTCACAGCTCTCTTCGTGGGTGGGGTTCTTGTTTTTAAACGCTTGATATTCTCAGGAAAAGTCTTTGCTGAGTGACCCCAGACATGTGCCTGGTCCCCTAGAGAGGTCGTTGAGCTGAGATTGAATTGCTCCCATGGGAATGAGGTAAGGAGTGCCTTTGGAGAGCCCAAAGTAGGACAGATCCGTGGGGTGCTTTGCAGAACTCCCTCAGAAAGATGGCTCAATGCATCTTCTTCAACCGATACATCCAAGGCACTAAGCCCGTGCTCTTATTGGGGGCCTGGCTGGAGGAGACGTGCCTATGGAGCAAGTGCTCCTTGCATTTGGAGAGCTTTTGGTGTCTCTTGCATTTGAGATTGCTCCATTTAACCTCCTCTCAGGAGCTGGTGGGAGCTGGAGAAGACCCTGTGCCCATGACATGCCCTGATAGATGCTGGCCATGGGGCAGGCAGAGGCAGCAGTGAGCCCTCCTGGGATGCAGAGCTGATCACTGGCTCCCATTTACTGCCCTGCTTTGTGAGCCAAGGGCAAGGGCAGGCTCAGCAGGTCAGGGTGAGTTCAGGCCAGCTTTGAGCTCCCTGTCTCTGGGCTGGAGCCCACCCAAGGGTAAGAATAATGGGGGAGATACTATTGGTTAACATGAAAAAAACAGATAAATTATGAAAGACTTGAGCTCCATATTTATAGACATGTTTCTTCTCGAGTTGCTGAATGTGCTATGGTTGATCTACAGTACATATGCTCTGGTCTCCTAAAAATATACTTCGTTAGTCAAGGAGATACTTGTTTTTATGTTAATGAAGCAACTGGGTCGTTTGGAATCCTTTTTTTTCTTTTTTTTTAACTGTGTCTCCTGACAGTGTTATCAAAGCAGGAGTACCAGTAAAACAACATCTAAATTCCCCCAGCCAGGCTGGTGGTGTCTCTCTGGGGACTTTGGCACCTCTTGGCTCTGAGCTCCAACCCACCACCACTACCTCGCACAGGAATTGGAGGGACACCCTGTGACAGCCCAGCTAAATATTGGTGCTGCCTTGGGCCATGGCCCTGCAGGAACATTGTGTAGGGGCAATTTCCTCCCTTCCCTGAGCATCCTTTCCCATCCTTGTGCATGCTCAATGATGGGGGCCAGTCTCTGGTGAGGATGACTTTGCTGAGACCACAAAGGCAGCAGCATGGTGAGGATTCAATGCGTTTCTCTTGCAAGGACCCATCTGGACCATGAGGTCTCCAGAAAGTTGCCAACAGGGCTATGATTGTGGCCAAGCTTCCTTCTTTATGACCCATGGAGCCTTCCCCAGCAGGGTGGCAGTCCCTGATGTCTCCCCAGCCAGGCAGTGGCAGGAGAGCTGGGTAAGCACCGGGCATCACCACGCACCACTCACCTTTGATCACCAGGGGATTGTGGTAATGGATCTCCAGGCGCAAATATTTGGAGGAGCCCTGGCCACCAAAAGCCAGACCTGCTTCTTCAGGGTAGTAGAAAGCCTGAAAGCAAAGGGAGGGTGTTAAGGGGAGCACTGAGGTGGCTTTCTGGTGGACAAGGCTGAAAAGCTTGGGCATAATCCTGACCCTCACGGTGGGCTGAGGGGCACGAGTTGTGCTTTTGGTGGTGCTTAGTGAACTGGCCTTGCTTCCAAAGGTTGCTGGTGTGCACGTAGAATGGCACGACCACTGAGTGGGGGCACGACAGCCATTTACAGCACCGAGGAGCTGGACTGGGGTGAGGCAGAAGCACAGACACATCCAGGGGGAGGATGGCGAGGTCAGACAGGGCTGAACCCCAATCCCAGCAGAGAGAGGACTTTAGAGCCCTAATGGCTCAATGGTTGGACTTGATGATCTTGGAGGTCCCTTCCAACCTAAAGGATTCTATGATAATGAGTCCGGGGCAGCCCGCGTGGGGCGATCCTAACATGGGGTGGGGAAGGGTTGGGAGGCAGCAGGGAAGCTCTCAGGAGCACGGTCTTCACATGGGGTGGTGGGTGACATCTCAGGCTCACCTGAGCTCCCATGGCCCACGCTGCAAGCACGTGCCTGCAGTAGTTGAGCCGTTCTGGCTTCATCTTGGAGTCGCAGGGCCCGTTGTAGTGGGGGAAGGTGTCGAACTCAGCAGCACACTGGAAGACTTCCATGTGGTGGACCAGGGCCTCGTTGCCTGCCGTGATCACCGGCTCGTACTGTGGAGCAGCATCCAGGGAGCACAAATTAGGAGAGTTTGCTGAGAGCTCATCCCCGGGGGCAGCTGCCTGTGCAGGCTCCACGAGGAGCCTCATCTCATCAACATCTGCTCTCCGTTAATGAATGGGAGACTGCTCCTGCTGCATGGTGGGGAGGGAAGGTTGCTCAGGGCGTGAGGCACCAAGAGCTCTTGGCTTTGGGACTGACTCGGAGTCCACCAGAACCCACAGAGAAACACCTCATCCCTTCTCCAGCGACAGAGGCACCCGATCAGTGGAAGATCCTGATCTGCATTGTGAGTCCTTTGCCAGTTTTGCAGGGCTGAGGTGACCCAGGAGCCAGCTTTTTCCTAAAGAGGGTCCTGGCCACGTAGCAGGAGCTCTGCCTTCAGCTATGGGGTTTTGTTTCTAGCCAACAGTCGCTCATGGCACAGGGAGGGGGGGCTTGGGGTAGAAAAAGTGACTTCAAACAAGCCTGAGGAACGAATCTGGCTAAAAGTGCCAGCTGTAGAAATGATCTGCAGCAGAGGAAGGTATCAGGAGTTACACACTTTTTACTGACACACAGATGATTCACTTCACACCATCTGTTGGAAAGAAAATCCTCCTCCTGAGTTTTCCTTTGCAACGTCATCTCTCCCCTGTAAATCACTAAGTGCTCTCTGCAGCTCCTGAGCCTGGTTTTCCCTCTCCCCGTGGTGTGGTTTTGACTCTGGGTGTGCCAGGTCATCTGCTGAGCCACCTCCATGCCTGCCAGGGCCACGTTCTCCCAGCAGCTCACAACAAGGGGTCAGACTGGTGCTACCTCTGCCTTTCCCCAGCCCTAGGCTGCCTGCAGGTTTCTGCCTCTCCTTTGGAGGAGATGACTGGAGCATGTGCAACACGACTGGGCAATGCACACAAGCTGCATTTATGCATATCATTATTCTTTTTTTTAGTCTAGTTAATATTTTTGAAGCCAGTTCATGGCCTGGCTCACTCTGCCCTGCTCTCACTAGCCCTGCTCCTTTGCCCCCCATGTTTATATATTCCCTTGGCTCCCTGGGAGCCACGATCATGCTGCAGGTCTGTCCCTGCTGGCTCTGCATGGGGCTGCTCTGAGCCCTCCCCAGGACCTGCTCCATGTGCTGGGTGGTAAGTCAGCACCCTGGCTTTGGCCAGGGAAGGGTTAATGGTCACAGGGGCTGCAGGTGGGTGGGACCACAGCCAGGTAAACAACTGGCCCAGCCAATGGGGTGTTCAGTACCCTGCTGACATCACAGGCTCTATATAAGGAGGGGGTGGAGGGGTGTTAGCTTGAGGCTGGAGCAGGGAGAGCTGCTGCGTCTGGGGTAAGGGGTTTGTTATCACTTGCTTTATATATTAGTTCACTGGTATTGATGTTATTATTGGTGTCTCCTCGCTCTGTGTTGCTCTAGTTAATTGCCCTCATCTCAAGCCATGGGTTCTTTGTTTCCTCTTCTTCCTGATTCTCCTCCCCAACACGTGGCAGGGCTGGGATGGGGAGGAGCAAACAGTGGCTGCTGGGGTTTGGCTCCTGGCTGAGGCTAAACCAGGACAGTCACCACCCCACCACCTCCTGCTGAGAAACTTCTGGGGTTGTCTTCTCTAGGAGAGATGAGAATGCTGCTGGCTGGTGGGATGGCCCTGGGAGATGTTGTGGTGCCGTGGTGGGGCAGGCGTGTGGGTCTGGAAGCTTCACCTGGGGAAGGGCAGGGACGAGGTGGGCTTCTGAGAATGGCTGATAGTGAACACCACTGCTGACCTGGAAAGCAGCCCTCTGCCCCTGCTCCTTACCATGACGATGTGGTGCTTGGGGAAGTGCTCTGGGAGCTCAGTCATGTAACACCAGTAGGTTGTCTCCTGGCTGGGAATGACAATGTCAGGGGCTGTTATCTCCATGGTGTCCATGTCGCTGGGCAGTTTGGGGACAGTGATGTTGGGCTTCAGCAGCTGCACCCTCTGCAGTCCCCTGTGGATGGCAGAGGTGTTGATGGCTTGGAGGGAAGGGACTGGTTTCTCCAGGATCCCGTAGATAAGGTGCACGGTGCCATCCTGAAGGGAGAGCAAAGGGTAGCAGGTAGTTTTTTCATCCAGGAATGGGAACTTCATGGACTATCAACATCAGTGTTGGTGGCATGAATCCAGGAGTGGGCCTTTTGACCCATCCCCAGATGGATCCCCATTGGGAGAGCTGGGAGAGTCTGAAAAGATTTTCCTTAGATGGCATCAGTTCTGGAAGGGTAACATCTCCTCTCAGCTCTTTCTGAGCCCCTTATCCCTCCTCAGCTCCAGGCTGGGACAACCACGTTGGTTTAGGGCTCATCCCACCCCACAGCCTGGCCCCAGCAAGAGCCAAGGGCAGCAGCCTGGAGAAGAACAGCAGAGACAAAACTGCTCCCTGAAATACCCCCTTTCTCCCAGGTTCTGTTGGGGGTACTGTGAGAAGCTCTGCTGAAAGTCTACAGCAAGC